ATTTACTTCGACTATTTAATTTACTCTTATACACCGTATTCACAAATGGCGGCTGTCCTGGGACGAGTGATCGATATTGGAAGACGAATACCTTAAAAACATTGAATGTACCAGTGACGATAAACATTTCTATTTTCGCTGCAAGTGTCACCATTCCTTCAGAAAAAACGATGCCCCACATAACATTCAGCTGGCATTGTGTATTATAAAAGGTGAAGTTGTTCAGTCAACATGTTCTTGCGTGGCGGGGAAAACAGGTTATTGTAACCATGCTTTAGCCCTGATGCTTAAAATGTGCAAATATTCTCTGTACGAAAGCAAAAGCACGCTCGACTTGCATGATGACGCGGACCAAAATAGTAAAGAAGCTTGCACTTCAAAACTACAAACATGGCACCGAAAAGGGAGGGGAGATACTATTGTGCCCCAACCAGTTATGGATCTGGTTGTGAAAAAAACAAAGCTGGCGAACAATAATGAAATCCAAAAAGAGGGATTAAAGTGTCTTCTCTATGAAGCGAGAACAAATGACAGAGTACAGGAAGCAGAAGAAAAAAAATTCAAAGATACATTAAGAAGTGACTTGTAACCGGTGTAACATTGTCTCCTGTCATAAATGTTTGACCGACACTAATCAAACTTTTTGCACAATGAGCTTCAACAGAAAGTTAATAAAGTTTTTTGGGGGAATATTTCGAAAGTGAGAGGCCATGTTTGTTTTAATTTTTGCGTGGACGTTGCGCGGATTTTAAATCTCGCGCCATACCAGTGCTCAGGCTTCGCACGGCCAATTAACTCTAGGGAGCCACCTTAAAGTGGAAAAAAATATGGGGTCGTTAAGACGGTTTTGCCAATATTTTGAGATTTGTAATTTTTCTTAATGGCGGAATTTTTTAGCTCTTTCAGATTTTAACAAAAAAAGGACAGCACAAAGGTACCGCAACTGTTAAGAAATGAGGCGAGTTTTAAAAAAATTTACCGAAGGAAACGCGAGAAATTCACCGTTAATTAACTACGTTGACGTCACAAAAATCCGAAAAACACGCGTGGTTCGGGTTCGTATGAGCAAAATACGCGCGCGAGCCATCACGCCCGCGTGCGCATAGTGCATAAAGCTACTGAGAACATGTGGTTTCTTTGAAAAGTACGAACGCCATTGTTTTGACGCCGTTTATTAGTATTATTACGGTGATGTCTCGCCAGTTGAAAAAGGAGAGATAGCGGATTCAATTTTATTCCTGACACAAGATGTTTTCTTCAAAGTACTTGACTATTGTAGCTAAAATTCGAGCCGTGGTGGTCACTCGTGAGGATGGCGATTGTCGGAGATGAAGACGGTGGTTGTGCAAGGATCGCAATAAGCCCTTCATTTCCTAATCTGCTGTACACTGTTTGCAGATCTTCAAATGTCAGCCCATTTCCGGATACTTTTTCAACCTTGTTCTTATTTAGGGATAATTTCGACGGCGAAGTTTTTCTTTAAAAGTCTACTGTAAAAGATGCGCCGATCCAAATCGTTCATCATGTTCTCAGCTACACGTATAAGACCGTAGGTCTCGCCGGACACTCTATTGCCTTCGTCAAGGGTCAGTCTGTGAGTAAATTATTTCTCGTTGTGCAAAAACATTTTCCGGTGCATCCTGCATGTGCGTTGAAGGACGTTTGAAGCAAGAAAAATACAAGGAGGGAGGAGGGGTCCGTACCCCCCGGACCCTATCCCTAGATCCGACACTGAGATTGATGCTGATGTCCAGCCTGTTTACACAGGAAAATTCAAACCAAAGAAACATAAACCTCCAATTGTAAATCAACAAAACGTTGTTTATTATTTCAAGTGTATGTAGTCTGTGAGATGCAGACTATGTCAAGGGGCACCCAACGAGAATATAGTTCAAAACCACTTAAACATAGCATTGTTAAACGTGTTTTAGTATTTAAACGGTGGATATGGGCATATTTTTATCCCCTATAAATTTTTCATCTGTTCGGATTTCCTAGCTGAAAGTCTAGTGATCCGAAAATTATAGGGATCAAAACTTACCCGTTCGAAAATTTCATCCAGAAAAAAGGCTCCCGAAAATTCTAGGTGACCTTTTTAGGGTAAAAATCCGTTGAAAATGGGCAATTTTACCATTTTTTAGATGTTCGAAAATCCTAGGAGAGGCAGGCAAGCAAGAAATTTTACAACAAATGTTCCAAAAATTCTAGATCTCAAATCGTCTTCCGAACAGCCCGAAAATTGTCGTTGGGTGCCCCTGTATGTCGGCGTCACAAGGCGACACTTATATTCGGGAGTAGTCAATCGATAAAACTCGGTAGCAATCAAACTATTTTTATCGATTGGTGACGGAAATTTATAAACCATGTTGCTGTGTCAAATCGATATTATCGATTTTTCATGATTTTAATGGATTCACGTTCAACAAGCGTTCTTTTCGCTCTAGCGTTTAGACATTTGACTATGGTGGGCAGAAAGAGAAAGTATCGTCGAAAACACCAAAAATGAATTAAGTATTAATTAAGTATTACACAGACACGAATGCAGCAAAGCTTATCGCAGCTTTCTGGTCTGCCTTGTTGGTTTGAGGCAGCAGTAATAAATGGACCAGCAAAGCAGTTGCTCACTCAAATTGGCGCCAAAAAAGGCACGGCAAAGACGCGTCATGCTTTTCAGTTTAATTTATTGCTTTGCGCCATTTTTTATATATTACATTCCGCATAATTATGTCATTCCGCAAGCCATGCCACATGCCATTCCGCAAACTCATTCCTCCTGTTACCCTCGCCGAGTCTTATGTATTGATTTGAAGAAAAAAAAACTCGGTAATGTAACTAATGGTGACTGATCGCAGCGTAAACTGGGCACCTACAAACCTGGCCAATATCAGCCATCCGAGGAAATTTTAAACCTGGTTTTACAGAAAAGATGGATTTTTTTGACGATTTTTTAAAAAATGATAATTGTTTGATCCTTTGACTCTTAATTGCAACTCATATGTCAAAAAATTAACTGTTTGCATCAATTCAGTTTCCATTTCTTGATGAGACATGTATTTTCCGATATAAATCGATGAAATCGACAAAAATCACGATAAATCGATGAACGAAACGAGTGCCGTCATCGATTTCTACCGATTGATCGATACAATCGATATCAATCAAATCACATTCACCGATTTTTGACGACAATTACAAACAATTTCAAAATCTTTAGAAAGAGTCAGAGCAAACTCGACTGTTTGATTTTTGAAATGCTTTTTATTCGTGAACTCAAACCCAAACTAAACAAACAGAGTGACTCGATCCGCGCGAAGCTAAGCGCATAATTAATTTTTTCACTGTTAAATATCTTTTATCGTTTTTATCGCTTTAGCGTTTCTATTATCATTCATGCTATAATTTTCTTGTATTGTTTCTATGTAAATATTTTAGAGTTTTTAGTCAGTTTCTCATTAGCCTTTTCACAATTGTATATAAGCACATCCTAATTTTTTACTTCTAACCTTGAAAATGACCGTCGAACGGTCGAAACGTCGTTGTTCTTTTTTGACGTTAATTTTATCGTGAAAATGTTATTTTTGTTTTATTATTTTTTTTTCTTAACTTCAGTAGCAGCTCTTTCAGCTACATTTCAGACAAAAAGGTTTGTAAGTATTCGTATAAAGGCAACGGACTATATCTACTTTCTTAAAATCTTCAGAAGTCGTTAAGTAGCGTGAATTCGTAAATCGAACCCAATCTCCGTTTTCCAGTTACAGATAAAAGGCATTTATTGATTCATTATTGATATTTTGGGGGATTTTTCGCTTTTGTAATTTTTTTGCCTAATTTTTGTAATTAAGGGTGTTTCGGGGGGTCCGGCCCGTCAGGGGGGCATTCCGGGGTGTTCTGGGCCTGTTCCTGGTTTTACAGACACCCCCATCAAACAGAGTCTGCCGGTGTCACAGACAAAAGCTTGAAATATAATAATTTCACAAATCTGTGGCCGGCAGCGTGGCGTGATGGTCTAAGCTTGTTGAATGTCGGTGCACGTGAAGGGGGCGATCTATAGGCCTTTCCCAAGTGTGCTCGTAAAATGTTGGAAAGTTGCAGCACCGGAATGCCAGTTGCTAAAAAATTGCCAAAAATCCAAAACGTCGCCACCTAAATTTCTTGATATTTTTATATAAACGTTGATTAAAAGCTTCATTTTTCGTTAATCACAATAATTACTAACATCGGTCAAGAAAAACAAAATTAAAAAATTAAAAAAATTGAAATTTTCTATGAAATCGTTGACGTTTTCGTGCTTGATATGTGCTCTAAGCCTATATTTTGCTCAAAAGTTGCCCAGAAAGGCAAAATTTTCTCGAGGTTGCTAGAACGGCAAAAAGTTACTCAAAACTGAATTGCCGAGCACAATTGGGAAAGGCCTTTCTTTATTGTACATCTATTTGTCCTTTTTTTTTGTTTTGTTTTGTTTTGTTTTTTCTTTCGACGAACGTTAAGCCATTTCTACAGACCCAACGGATTGCTCCTGGGTCTCCGAGGATGAAATAATCTCGCGAACATTTTCAAAACCGCGCGCCATATTCGACAAAAGAAACCGCAATTTTATTTTCTTGCCCCATGTAACGGAATACAGACTTCGGAATCCAGAAGTTAGACATTTTTGCTTGTGGAATCGGAAATCCGGGAAAATTTTGCTTGCTGAATCTGGAATCATTGGCTTTGGAATCCGGAATACAGCTAAAAAAATCCGGAATCCCACTAACAATTAGAATCTAGAATCCAAGTTCCACTGACAATGACTGGAATCTAGTGCCTGAAATGCGGAATCCACGGTGTGGAATCCAGAATTCAAGACTGCCTCATGTTCCATTACATAGAGCGATTTTACAGTTAGAGCAATACAGTGTGAGCAATACTCGCCTTCCAGAAGTACTTTTGGTTTCCAATTATGTTGCAGTTTCCAGCCTGTAAACCTCGTTAGGGTACCGCGCCGTGTTTTAATAGAATTTTATAACCCGATTTTCTACTTTCAACGTGCACACTCCTCGTTTCTAACACAAAATCTACTGAACGGCTTGAATTCGGAGCCCCTTTTTTCCAGCAATGATAAATCGATTTAAATGGCGAGAGGTTTTGCGGTTGTATCAAGGGCATCAAGAATTGAAGCACACCTTCAAGCGGTCAGATGCTAGAACAACTGTAGCAGATAACAAAAAAGGTAAATAGTTCAAGTCAAGCGGCTTTTGATGCCTCATCGCTGCAAACCAAAGTGAATTTTACCGTGAATTGATCACTGTATGTCAGACTATAGGATCAAATCTTCGTGTTCTGTTGCTGAAAGAAATGGAGCCGTGTGTCTGAGCAGGTTTCGTGTAGCTTGAAACTAATCTGGGAATGAAGCTTTTTCTATTCCGGTCAAGACAAGTATGTTGAGAGTGATTTGTTGGATACGAATGTGCGTGTAGTCGCTAGTTTCTTGATCTTTCTTTCCTGGTTTTGTTGTTTATCTGTCACGTCGCGAAAATTCGTTATAAAAATCCTTAAAGTTTAATGCACGATGCATTAGATAGGACAAGAGATCGGCGTCTGAATCAGTGCCATATCGAAGTCTAAAGTCTCGGCCGAGCCAGGCGGACTGAACGGCTCCGCCGTTGCAAATTATAATAGGCGTTCCTAAAACATGCTAAATGATTCAAACGCCCAAAATTCATGTGATCAATTCGATGCATTATAGCTACTACTGGTGGAAGTTCGAAGTTTGAACATTTCTTAGTTTCAGTTTTTGAGTCATGCAACCCACCTTGAAATGCAACGCGCAAAACCTAATCTGTAATTCTAGGCGTCTATGAGACAAAGAAACTGAGAATAGAGCTGCCTGAACACCCTCAAATGAACGACACTGACTATTCAAGACAGAGCGTTCCCGACCCGAGGGGTTGGTCATTATTGGCACCTCCACAGGCTGAGCCTGCACCGCTCTAGCCCATTTGTGAGCCGAACATACTCTATAGGGTAGTTTTTTCAAGTACGGTTTCCATATTGATCGCTACGTTTAGCAAGTCGGCTGAGTAGACAGCGTTCAGCTATCTCCGACGTAGGCCGTGATCTTGCGCGATTGCTGTGATAGAGACCTCAACGAAGGAAAGAGAGGAAACCTGGAACGAGAATACCGGCTGAAGCAATATGCTAACATGGCTAATGAAAGATAATCCTTATTTGTTCCTCAGATTTTCAGCTGAGTGAAAGAGAGAGAGCCTTGGCGAGCGTAGCAGATCAAATACGATGTGCAGCAGATGTTCTTCGAGCTCCTATGAGATTTCCAGCTCCAACGCGTCCCCTTAGCAAAGACAAGAGAGAAAGTAAAGGAACTTCACAGTCTATAAGAAAAAACGATGAAGTCAGCTGTTTTATATCATTACTACATAAGCAGCCTAAAAAATAACGAAGTTCTCAAAGAATCAGGGCTAAACTCATCGAACATAACTGAAACATTAAATACCTCGGAAACTGAAAGGGCACGCTTCAATAAACCCTTATTAAGGGCAAAGGAATATTTTTAATTTCCAAAATGTCCTCATCAGGCCATACGGCTCCACCGGCAAAAACCTGCCCAGCAGGTTAGGTAAGGTAAAGTTTTTTGTTAGTGTCCGTACAAATTATTCCCGGCTAGAGCCCACTATGTTACCTAGGAGACGTTCAGAGCAATAACGTGGTTTTGTTTCGGCGGCTGGTTATCATCTGATACTTTCACTTAGCCTGCGAAAACATCAGTTTCTCCTCGCTCTTCTCGCCGCTGGGGACGTTTCGCGCGGAGGAACTGAAACGTGCGCGAAACGTCCCTAGCGGCGAAGAGCGTGGAGAAGCAGATGTTTTCGCTGGCTAACTTTCACTCAAAACATAACGTTCTTAGGCTTTCTATTTTTGACCAGTCAGAGGGCGTCAGATTCCACTTCTTTCCTTTCCCAACCGAAATCAATAGTTCAATCGAAGAAAATAGCACCACAGACTGCGCCATCAAAATCAACTCCATCTTCGTTACAGTCTGAGTCTTTTCAAATGTCAGTGTTCAATTCTTCTATTCAAGTTACAGCGGCGAAGCAAAATAAACTAGACAAACGGCGCCAGTCAAACTTGTGTAATGAAGTATCTATTGAAATAAAAACCAATTAAAATAATTAGTATTGAATGGAAATTCTGCCGAAAACGTCATAATTATAGAGGCCAGGATTTTAGCGGATTGCTTTTTGTTTTGGGTTATGCGTTCTAATATTTACATTTCAATCCCAGGTTTGACGTCGGTTATCTTATTAACTGCTGGTCAAAATACCTCAAGAGAGCGGACAAATTTATCTCAGTACCGATTTAGGCATTTCGAGTCAGCATGATGATTAAGTTATCAATTTCAAGTCTAAATGTCTTTGTTGGTTTTTTATTGTGCGGAATATTTGTTTATCACTTGTACTTAATTAAGACATTTGTTCCCCTATCTACACACAATTTAAACACGTTTTCCAGTTTAAACAAAGCATTTAACAGGAACAACCATGTTATTTAATGAATTCATGATAAGCTGGCAAGTTTGGACAGGTAGACATTCAAATAGTTTGGCGTCGAGTGTTGTATGCTTTTATATGAGTGTTATGCTCATGAAGATCGTGCATTAGGCGAAGAATATAACCACACATCTCGGGACTCGTTACAGTGGAACAGTTTATTGGCGATCAAAATATTTTGTCAAATCAGGTGAGTTTTGATATTGAAATATCTATATTCATACAAAGATTTTCCTCTCGCGTGGATCTTTGGAGCGGTTTTTGCTTTTGTTTTCGGTGTGCATCGCTAGTGAGCCTAGTAAGCGTTGTGCACACGTGGATTCTGCAAGCACTAACCCTTTTTCCGACAGTTTATGTGGAATAAACAAATTACAGCACTTGCGATGAAGGTGCAAAATGTCAGCTCTAGTTTAGTCTTCTGTTACCACCAGGTATAGCTTAAATTCGGTCAGTTCTAAATTGAGCTTCATTGAAGTCATTTTTAGAATTCATCTTCACAATCTATTGTTTTATGACTACGTGCATATGAGGCAAGAAGGTTTAGAGGCTCTTAAGAGCGAGTTTCTGTAAATACCACGGATAGGTGTGCAAGATGGAAAAATCGAAATCCCCCAAACTTTGTCCCAACAAAGCCCTTTGGAAACTATTTTAGAAAATACAAGACTCAGTTCGTTTGACTCAATATTTTCCAAAATAATAATTTTTTTTAATTTTCACCTTCGAGAGGCCTTCAAACCACCGAAAAATGTGCTTGATACCCTCGCTTCGTGAATGGAAACGGAAACTAATACCATAACTTTTCTTACATTAAACAATTTTATGATCCTTCCTTTCTACGTAAACGTTGTTACAATTTCAAAAGATTTCAATCTGATTTTTTAATATTTTTTCAAAATTACCCTCTAAATCAGCATTATCACAACCATCAATTTTGCCATTTTTCAACGGCGAAAATCCCTTCCTGGTACATGGCAAAGAGCAATGTTTCCCCTATCAATCTGTGAAATAAAATTCTGGGGCAATTGAAACTGCGAGTTTTTACAACGGAAAACATTTACGGTACTCGCGTGATTTACGACCTTTGAACTTCCAGTTGTCGTGATGAATACAAGGGAGAACTTAGACAGCACTTGAAACTCTGGCGCAAATTCGCCCCTTTTCCGCCAGTTTAAACACCAAAAACGATTTTAGCTTTCACAGTGGTAAATTTTCACAAGGAAAAGCAATTTTATTGTACGAAAGTGTGCTATGAACTTCTTGACTACAAGACATCCGTTACGTGCGTATTTGTTTACTTTTGCCGTATTTGTAACAGTTATCATATATCTACAAAACGGCTTTAGTGTCGGTAGCTATTCTTTAAAATGCTCTCATTTATCATGAACCAAATCGTTATAGCTATAAAAAAGGAAAACGTTTTTTCCTACCTCACATTATTTGATAACAGAACCGAATCCTTTACTGCCTTTAACGAAATGAGATTGCGTGACAAAGAACTTTGAGACCCAGGTTGAAGACAGATACCATTCCGAAAAAGACACTCACGCGGCACCCTCTGTAAGTATAAAAGCAAAACATGTAAATAATCAAAATCCTTACTTTCACTGACTTATCCGCTAGAGCGATTATGAAAACGTAAGACTAAAAAAACATATTTTCCACAACAGAGTATGAAGTGGTTGCCCCTTATATTCTCTTACTTTCCATAAACGCCTGCTTACACATTTTGAAATACGATTATGAATTCCTTACTTGTATCCTTAGAAAAATGACATTTAGGGGGAAAAAGTGCCTATTCCTAGTCTTAAATGTCATCCGTCCCTTCCCTCCACCCCCTAAGGGGCGGCAGCCCGTTTCGGGGTGGGGCGAAGAAACGCAGAACATTTCAGACTGATAGCGGGGCTAGAAAACCTGCATAATTTTAGAGCACCTCTGGTGTTAAAAGCAAAGCTTTCAGTAGTTCTGGCAACCTCGAGCAAGTTTTGCATTTCTGAGCAACGTTTGGGAAAAATATAGGCTTATGTCAAGCCAGAAAAAAGTGAGCAGTTTGATAGAAAATGTCAAGTTCGACTGAACCGCGCCCGTATAAGCGCCCTTAATGATTCTGGCAGGGGGAGGGGGGGGGGAATTTTGAAGTGGAGCGAGGAGGACCTAGGTCCAACCATACCGTCTGCGCTTTAGCTGTGAGTCTGCCTTGGAGATAAATTTCGCTCATATTTTTGAGCAACTCTTTAAAGAAGATTGCAAGCCGTATAGTTGCGTCCGTCTCAGAACGCTGGAGCGGTGAAACCAATGATCGCGCCCCTCGCACCTTGAAAAAAAACTGCGTTTTTTTTTAGAAAAAAAGGAAAAGAAAATAAAAGAGAAGGAAAGGCCGTTCGCACGAACTGAAAGCTATTGTTTTTTGCATTGCTATTGAAAATCTGAAAAGGAACAGTCTTACACACGTAGCCCTCGGGGTGGTACCAGGTGAATATATCACATACCCCATCGTTCCAGGTATATAACCTTTACGTAAGCGTAGGATGTAAGACACACTTGCGGATACGCGTAAGCATAACGTGAGATACCCAGGCGCAAAAAAATAACAGTCGCGCGGCTAATGTTGGCTCCCCTCAAAAATGAAGCGAATTAAGGTGGGCTTGAAAAGTGAGATATTCGGATATCTTCGGATAATTGATAGCGAGTTATTTCCAGTCCACGCTAATTATGAGATTCCTTTTCTTCTTTCCTAACGATAAGTTAAATAGGTCAAGAAAAAACAGCTTTCAGTAAGTTAAAATAAGTTTTTTGAGGGCGCGATCTTTGGTTTCACCGCTGAGCGTTCCTGACGGGCCCAAATATACGGGCTTGCAATCTCCTTTAAAGAGTTGCTCGACACTGTGGGTAAAATTTATTGCCAAGGGAAACGGACAACTAAAAAGCAGGCGGTGTGCTTAGAGCTAGGTCCTCTTTGCTCAATTTCAGAGTTTCCCCTCCCCACCCAGCCTCCCCCTCCCGCCCGAGTCATTAGGGGCGCTTTTAAGGGCGTTGTTCAGTCGTACTTGACATTTTCTATCAAACTGCTCACTTTTTCTGGCTTGACATGTGCCATAACCTATATTTTGGCAAAACGTTCCTCAGAAATGAAAAACTTGTTCGAGTTTGCCAGAACTACAGGAAATTTAAACACAAGAGGTGCTCTAAAGTTATGCAGGTTTTTTAGCCCCGCCAGGAGCCCCGCCATGTCTAGTCTGAAATGTTATGCGTGCCTTCGCCCCACCCCGAAACCTGCTGTGGCCCCTTAGGGGGTGGAGGGAAGGAACGGATGACATTTTAGACTACGACTTAGCGCTTTTTCCTAAGAATACAAGTAAGGAATTCATAATCGTATTTTAAAACGAGCGTGATGAAAACAAGAGACTACAGTGGAACCTCGATTTAACGAAGGGCCAAGGGCCTAAAAAAATTTCTGAGCCACCCAACGACGGTTTCCTTCTAAATTCATTGAAAACATTTTTCAATGGTGTACCCAGAGTACTTTTAGATCTCTAGAAATGCATTCCAAGCGGCTTGTAAAATTTGTTCCTGTTCGGTCATCCTAGGGAAACTTGCATTGAGCATTTTTGAAATTACAAGGGCTTCAGTATTATTTTCCCAAAAATTTTAGATGCAATTTAACGTATCACGAAAGTGAGAATTTTTCTGATTCCTCTCTCAATCACATGTTTGAATCCGAACATTTTAGGCTTCCTCTTTTTCTATGAAAAATTAGCCTAACCTGGGATGTAAAATGTGAAAAATTAAACTTCAGAAAATCGTAGGGAATTTATAAGATAACCTTCGAAAATTGAACAGGAACGGAACGGTCAACTAGAAATTTTTAGGCGTCCTCAAGCTATAGAAAATT